AAGTGATATCAGGGAAAATCTTACCAAATTAAACAGTTTCATTATCATCTTTTTTGTTTTTTTTTGGAATTCTGGTACGTACGTACGTACTTAAAATCGTGAGCCTGGGATATTGTCGATCCTTGCTTTTGATAGTTTTTTGTGTGTGGCAATAATTGTAGATAATTGTAGAACAATAAATATGAAAATATTATAGTAGATTGTTTTAAATATTCTTTAAATAAACTTTTACACTTTTTGTGAATGCATCAAAATATACTGGGTGGTGAAAGTCCCTTTTCTATACATACCTGGGTGGATGAAATGTTAGAAATGTTAGTAATATTAGTAATGTTAGTGGAGATGGTTCAATTTCTGCCCGGTATAAAATATTTGAACCCATACATTGATTGATTCTATTTCAAAAGTAAATAAAATCGATTTCTATAAATGCACTAATCTTCCTTATATTCCAGATGGGTGTTCTTAGAGGATTAGAGGATAATAATAAAATTTAGACAGATTTTCACCATTGTACAATTGAATGTGTACTCCAAGTGAAATTGCACACGTATTAATTTTGTTTTCTAAACATGAATTTTTTAATTATAACGCACATAAATTTTCATTTTTACCTGTTTTTAATTATTTTTAATTATTGTAATCATTTTTAATAATTTTTATCCATTTTTATACATTTTCGTGTACATAAAAATAATTCATTTTTTTTAAATCATTTTAACGTACATAAAATTTCATTTTTTTTTAGCACACATAAATATTGTAAGTTGTTAGTAGAGTATTCCAGATTATAATAATCCAGACTATAATAATATACATTCAGAGTTGGTTGTATGTTTTATTATTGCCTGGAGTACTCCATTAACAACTCTAACATCTCTAAAAACTCTAACATCTCTAACAACTATAACAACTATAACAACTATAACAACTATAACAAATATAACAAATATAACAACTATAACAAATATAACAAATATAACAAATATAACAAATATAACAAATATAACAAATATAACAACTATACCAAATTTTTAACGCAAAAGCTTGAATTTTATACACTTATTTTTTCATAATATAAATCTTATATGAATCATACATAAATAATATATAATCATACAAAATAATATATCTTAATTTCTATCAACAATTAGTAAAATGGGGTTAAAGAAGTAATAATTAAAGTAATCATTATAATCTACATAATCTACATAATAAATCGGAACCAAACATAGATTTCCGATCAATTTTAATACTTAATAATAATAGTAATAATAATAACGATTATATAAAGACTATTAAAAGTTAAAGTTTATTTTTAATTTAGCCAATCAAAAAAATCAAACCAGAAAATTGATCTACGTTTAATGAAATTGATAACCAATCAAACTTCTCTATATTTTTTGTCTATCATAATTTCTTTTTTTTTTGTTTCATAAAAAAGAATTTATGATTTTCAAATAAATAAAATGAAGTTCTAATTATCGGATTTAAAAAAAAAAAAAAAAAATTATATTTGTGTAAATGACAAAATATGGTGTAATATCACAAACTATCCGTCAAATCAAATTAAAGATCACCAGTGTTATGATCACCTGTTTGTCCTATGACCTTTACTGGAGAACATACAAAAGAAAAACATCAATAAACACAATGAAAATTTTAACCAATTAGGGTGAATTTTTGCGATTTATATTTATAAAATATTAAATTAAATGGTGTATTTTTTTTGCATTCAATTGAACAGTGTTTTATTTGTCCGGTTCGGAAATACAACGTATACTTGATGCCGTATAGTACGGGTTACACGAATTTTTTTTTTTTTTATGTCGATTTTTTTTTTAAAAAAAATATCAGATCTCGCATTGAATATAAGACAAAGATGTACTGTACGGAGGATAAATTATAGACATAAATTTTATGCAATTTTTTTCAAATAAAATTTAATAATAGATTTTAATTAAAGAATTTGATTAGTTCATAATTTATCATTACTCATCAGATATAACGATTGTAACAAATAAAGCAACATTAAGATTCGTTCCGGCCTATGTTCGGAATCAATGGACGTTAATGATATTATTATGTTCAAATCTTAATGGTCAAAAATCACGAGATTACTTACGTACATAACAAAATATTTAATTGTTTGTTAACAACTAGGATCCTTACAAAGAGTATTTTAATAATTAGAGACACGACAGGATGTTGTAACGATTTGATGGTGATATAACTTCATCAGTTACGTAATATTTGTTAAATAATAATAAGAGCGGTAATTAATGGTAATTAATGGTAATTAATAGTAATTAACATATTAATCATGATAATATTACTGTACTGTAATAACAATAATATTAATATTAATAATATTAATAAATAAAAATAATATTAATATTAATATTAATAGAATAATATGCAATTTTTTAACGCAAAAATAATATTAATAATAATCTTGTGAAATCTTATCTGAAACAAATCTTTTTACAAATTTTGAACAAATTAAAAAGAATTCCATGAGAAAGATATGATGGAACGTATATTTGTTTAGTGTAAATACTTATTAAATACTTTTAAATATACTTGTAAATATACTTGTAAATATACTTTTTAAACACTTTTTAAATTAAATATACTTTTTAACTACTTTTTAAATACTTTTTGGAACGGAATTTACTATAAATATACCAAAAAAAAACCAATGTATTAATTTACATTCTTTGTGTATGAAATTTTTTATTCATTTTGTATACCGTAAATATTAATTATAAAAAATGGTTACATATGTTAATTAGCATTGATCTGGTAAATTTTATTCCGACAATTTATAAAAAAAAAATGCCTATAAAAGATGTTTATAAAAAGTGGCTATAAAAAGATTATCAAAAGATGCGAGATAAATTAATATAAAATATACTAATATTTTTAAGGTAATAAAATTTTCATGCGTTTTATACCAAGAAATCAAAATTCGTATAAATACTCATACAAGAATGTCTGTTAAATTTTTAGTTGTACTTTACTACGTTAACATTTATTATTATAAATGCCTTAAAAAAGTGTGTACCCAGTTGAGTATGAATGAATTTTTAGCTGTATATTAAATTATACGTAATTGTGCTTGTATGAAATTTATTATGTACTGTACGTACTTTTTCAGTGATTAATTGATAAACGTGGATCGATATTTGATTCACGAGGCATGTATTGATTGTCGACTATATATGCAATGCATGGTACATAGATACTTTTGACGTAAACAGTTCGTAACTGTTTTTATTTTTTTTTGATAATAAATTCTTTATTACACAAACAATTATGATTGGTTAAAATGACAATGGTAAAATGTATGGGTCCAGAGATTAGCTTAAAAAATGTAGGTATGCAAAATTTTTGTACATAAGTAACCGAAAAGAAAAACCAAATAGAGATCAATATGCAATCTTTTATCCACTCATATGACGTATTTTTCATTTAAATAATGCATTTTTCACAAAAAAATTTTATTTTTAATTTTTTTGATATTCGTTTATTTGATTACAAAAAAAATTGAGAATGAATGTTTATTACCATTAGTTTCCATTCTATTTACTCTATTTCATTAGTATTTTATGTCGATTATATTGCAGGAGACATTTAAATATTTGCTTATTTTCTTCTAGATATTCATTCATAAGATCTGGGAAATGTAAACTTTTAAGTAATGCATGTATTCTTTTTAAAACAATAATAACTTGAACCAATAATTATTTATTGCATTATACAAGGGTATTGAGAATAATGTATCAATTCAGCAAAGAGCAGATATACATTAACCAAAGAGCAAGAGATACATTAACGCTTCTGTGCGAAAAACAACTAAAGATAGATATATATAAATATTTTTAATTTTTCCTTCATACTCATTAATCTGTTATACTTGATCGTAATATATTACTACAACTTGGCATTTCATTGGTCTCAATTTTGTTACATAAAAACGCACCTATAATATATTATAAATATTATGAATATTATAAATATTATATATCAAAAGTTCTATATTAAAAAATTATATATATATATAGTGAAAATGCATTATCTATAACCAACAAAAACGATAACGATCGAAATGACCATTTGGACATGCATTTCTTTTTTCACGTGCTTTGTTATATAAAATTAAAAAATGAAAATAAAAAAAGAAGAAACAATGTCAATCGATTTGATCAGTATTTGACAGCTACAAATGTCGAGCTCTCATATTTGTAAAGTTAATTTGTAATCACTTTATTACTGATTACTGTATTAACTGTATTAACTGTATTAACTGTATTAACTGTATTAGCGATTAAAAAAAAAAAAAATTCTTATAGAATATATACTATGTATGATTAATCTATATTTGTGACTCTACAATATTCCTAGCCACAGTAATTTAGTAATTTGATTAGTTAGGGTATAATATTCTAAAAATAAAAAAACAGCATATTTTAATTTTTATATAATATATATATCGATATATTGTAAAAATTTATATAGCATATATCGTATATATCTTATGTGATATTGGCGAGTTTTAGGTAACACATCCTTACTATAATTTATACCTTTATTTTATTCAATAGAAAAAAAAAATAAATAAATAATACTTGAAAGCTCCCTAATAAAAAAAAAAAAATAAAAAAATAAAAAAAAAAAAATAATGAAAAGCTCGTTTAATTTATATTAATATATTTTAACATCATAATAATAAAAAAACAGTAAGTACTGTTACAAAATCTTTTTTATCTTCGTGAATGGTCTATTAGTAGATTGTTCATGTCTTTAATGAAGAAATTTTACTCTTTTTTTTTTTTTCTTTTCTTTATTTTTTTACTAACTAGTAATCTTTTTTTTTTTTTTCTTTTTTTCCTTTGAATGATAACTAAAAAAAAAAACAAAAAAAAAAAAGGACTTGGCCGTAGGGTTTTAGAAAAACAATACTTTAAGTCTAACTACAGAGGTTCAAGTTTAATCAAATGACTATTACTGCCTCAAATCCTGGTGGAAAAAGGCCAACCTCTGGGTCTGTAGATGCTAACGTACGCGAAAAAAGATTAAAAACAATTGCGTGCGACAGATGTAGAAGAAGAAAGGTTAATAAAATAACCTTTATATTATTTAACTTATTTAACTTATTTAACTTATTTAACTTAAAATATCTGGAGTTTTATATAAAGATCAATTATTCAAACAATTATTTAAAGATAAATAATAATCTATAAACTTGTTTTTTTTTTTCCCCTTTCCTTTTTAAATTTTTAAAAGGTTAAATGTGATGGAGATGGTTACAATCACCTACCTTGTAAATACTGTACATCTGTTGGTTTAGAGTGCACATATGGAAAAAATAATGCTGGCCGTACAAATACAAATCAATCACAGATAGCATCATCTAGAGCCAATGTCTCTTCTCAATCTAATCGTAATCCTACTCGTTCAAAATCATCATCTACGATCAACGGTCAGCAATCTACAACTCGTCAACGAAGAGTTTCTCATACTCAATCTAATCAAAATACGAAAACTACGAAAAAATCGTCCTCTTCTACTTCGAACACGTCTTTTTCTATTGTTACGTCTTCTTCGAATACTATTACAAACCAAAATCGAATTATTCCTCAAGCGTTACCTATACCCGATAATCTTTTTGAATACATGGTTAAATTATTCGTTTCTATGTCTTCACAAAATGAAGATCAAATTCGTCAACAATTTAGTCATTATATACCACAATTTCAAGATGAAAATGATTCAATTCCGAAATCTCTTAACGTATATGACAATCAAAAATTAGATGATTTATCTCAAAGACTTGTTAATTTGTATTTCGATAATTTTCATCCCTTATTTCCAGTATTACATAAAGCTTTCTTTATTGAAAGATTTAGAGATACAAATAAATCAATGCCGCGAATCTTATTATACGCAGTATGTGCTATAGGTTCAAATTATTTAGATGATGCGACCATTAGAAAAGATCATTGCGATTCACAAACTCTCGGTTTAGAATATTACGAACATGCACAAGGTAATATTGTGTAAATATCTGTACTTAATTAATCTGTTTAGAAAAAGGTGAAAAAGGTGAAAAAATTGAAAAAGTTGAAAAAGTTGACAAAGTAGAAAAAGTTGACAAAATAGAAAAAGTTGACAAAGTAGAAAAAGTGTGACGGAAGAAAATTAATCTGTTTGAAAAATTGTGTGACAATTGTGTTCAGATATATTCAGATAACAAAACCACTAAATATAACCTTTTTTCTTGTTCAACACACTTAAATCAATTCTAGAAATGATTAATCAAAATCTTAATTACCCGAAATTAAGTACCGCTACAGCACTTTTACTCTTAGGTGTATTTCAATCTCGAAGTTTTAAAGGTTATACTTATACTGGGATGGCCACGATATTTGCTACCGCGATGAGATTACAAGACAAGAACGCATCCGAAGGCCTGTCCACACTTGAAAAAGAGGCTAGAAAAAGAGTAAACATCAATTTTAATTTTTTTTAAAAAAAATTTTATTATCATAACTCATATCGATATTTTAATTTTGTTAATTTTTAGTTATGGTGGGGTATTGTGATTTGTAATAACTTACAATCAATAGCCTTAAATCGTATATCAACACTCTCAACTAGATGTTGTACAGTTGATTTACCCGAATCCGAATCATCATTTGCACAAGATGAATTTGAATCAAAATCCATAGACTATTTCGTACAATATCTTAAAATTACAAAAATAACTTATGAAATATTAGAATCTAGCTTATTTGAGACTAATGAAAGTATGGAAACTATAACATCAAGATTAGAAGAAAAATTAAATAACTGGAAAAAAGATTTACCAACATCTCTTCAAATAGAAAATTGTGGACCGTTGACCTTATCGACGGAAATAACAATAGATCACCTCCGGATTTATTTATGCATTCTTTATAATTATGCAATGATTAGAATTCATCATGGTAATATTACGTCAGACCACAGCATGTTAACCTGTGCAAAAGCAGCAAATAATATCACAACACTTACAAATAAGAATTTCTTGATCATGGCTAGTAGCACACCATTTATTATTCAATGTGCAATTTATGCAGGATTTATTCATATATTAAATCTCAAGAGACCAATGTATGCAAATGATGCAAAAAATAATGTTATACAGACTCTTAAATCATTCCAAAATATGTTCTGTATTTCATCGTCACGATATATGCATTTAAACATAAAAAAATTGATTGCGATTTTCACTTCACAATTAGAATGTATGACAGATATTTATGAAGAATTACTAAATTCTGCTAAAGCAATTTTAAATTCAGTTTCTAGTAATAATTCCAACAAATTTTCGAATTGTAACGAAACTCAAAGTTCAACAGAAGGAATAACAAACAGATCAAATAATAACATTAATAATAATAATAATAATAACAATAATAATAATAATAGTAATAATAATAATAATAATAATAATAATATGAACAATGATAATTCAACAACAAAAACGCAATCAATTCAACCTTCTATGAATTTACTTGCACATACAGCATCTACAAGATCACCACAATATTCACCAATATCTCCAATACCTCCTTGGATATCGCATCAAAATCATCAAACAAATCAGCAACAACGTCAATCAGTTTTTGCTACATCACCTGCACCATTATCTCCAATAGATCCTCCGCCGGTAAATTCAAATAAAATTGATTCAAATTCAATAGGAAATTCAGCATTGCTAATGGTTGATAATTATTCATCTCAGTACGGACATTCACATAATCAACAACCTTCTACGCAATCAAGGCAACACGAAAATACAACAAATGTTTCAAATTGGCATTATCAATGGTCTCAATCGCAGCAGCATCATCATACACCTTCGCATAATACATCAATGTCACAAAATCCTAATGATACTTCGACTTTATTAGTTATAGGGAATTCGTCAGGTTCTTCAACTTCACCATTAACTATAGGTAGAAATGCAACATCTTCGTTAACAATGTCGGCGTCATCATCATTACCACCACTTGGAACAGCAATACCAGCTACTAATACAACATCCCCATCGTCAATGTATTCATTTCAAAATTCTCTTCCATCAATAGCATTTTCACAATTTCCACCAGCTCAACAACAACAACAACAACAGCAACAACAACAACAACAACAACACCCATCACAATCTAGACAATATTATTTAACATCTAGTAATACAAGTCCACCATCTAATAATATGGGTATTAGTGGAAATTATGTTACGGGAACTGAAATTTCAGGAGGATTAGCTGGTATATCATCGATAGGAGGGATTGGAAGCGAAAATTCCGTTCCAATGTTAGGTGATGATGGAGATATAACACATACTCATCATCATCATCATCATCATCATGCGGCACAAAGAAGGACGCCAACATCACAATACCCCTGGCCATCATATTAATGTATTGTATTCATCTTGAAAAAATAAAAAGAATAAGCAAAAAGCCAAAAAAAAATTAAAAAAAAAATTAAAAAATAAAAATAAAAAAAAATTGCATAAAATACAAATAAAAAAAAAAATTTTTTTTTAAATTCGCAAAAAAAAAAAAAAAGATTGGCATGTTCTTATATTTACCGAGAAAATACGTAATAATAATCATCGTTATCAGCGGATTATTACGGTGAGTAATTTTTTTTAAGCATAAAATAATAATATATCTATTATATATAGACATATTATTATTGGTATATTATTATTAGTATATTATAACAAGTTATTAGCATCCATTATTAGCATCCATTATTATCATCCATTATTATTATAATTCATTATTAGCATATTTTATTAGCATATTTTATAATTTAATACAGTAGTATATTATAGTAGATCTCTTAAACTACCTTTAAACTATTCGTTTTCCTTTTTTTAAAAAAAAACAACAAAACAATGATTAACGTTAACACTAATAAAGATTTATTTATCGATATTTTAGATTTGACATTGCGCAAAAAAGGAAAAACGGATTAATTGGACAAATACGTGGTTTTTTATTTTTTGAATGGTTTATTCTTTTGGCACAATACTTTTAGTATTGGGTTGTGATAAAATGGAATTTTTTTTTTTTTATATTATTTTTTCAATTACAAATATAAATAATTAAGGGTTGATGTTTGCTAAACAGGTTTTATATATTTACATGTATATATTTTTACGCAAATATATATATATATATCAACTCTATTTCTCCGATACTTTTGAGAACTTATATATATATATATATTTTTCTTTCGCTTTTGTTTTTTTTTTAAATTAGCGTTAGTAGTTTTTCTTTTTTTTCTTTTTTTTTTGTTTTCTTCTATGGCATTTTTTTTCTTATTGGTATGATTTTTTTACGTATAGGATTCATTTTAAGGTTGACTAAATAGTAACTTTCTATTATTTACTTTTTTTTTCAAAAAAAAAAAAAAAATAACGAAAAGAAAAAAAAACAAAAAAAAAAAACATAGACTTAAAAAATTTTGTATGAAATATGGTCGAATAATTTTTTCTTTTATATATATTTTTTTCTTCTTTTTTTTTCTTCTGGACGGTTTAAAAAGCGTGGAAGGACAATTCGTTAAATATAAATATATAACAAACAAAAAAATATATCTTGCGGTAGTTTTTGGTTCCTAAGACATTCTGGGCGACACTGAAAAACACCAAGCTCATATCGGTAATGGTCTAAAACCCCTTAATTTTTAAAGATTTATGGTATTTGAACGTTATAATATGACTTGGTAAAAAAAATAATAATGTTAATAAAATCAAAAAATCTTCTCCATTACTTTTGCATAAAAAAAAATTGCAAGTACGTTCGTACATACTTACATACGTACGTACATTATTTTTAAAGTTTAAGGAGACCATGATGATTGATCCTGTGCTTTATTTGTACAACTTTATGATTATAATTAAAAATAAGCAGTAAATAAAAAGCTTAGGAATTCATTTTTTTTTGTTCTGTAAAAATTTTTCATAAAGTCAAATGCGTTCTTTATACATGCATTGTTAATTAAGTCAATGCGTTAAAATTTATTCTTCCACGCGATCTTCAAAACACGTATCACTCAAATAAGGATCCTCTTTTTTATAAAAATATTAATGGAAAAACTTTTTATTGTTCAGCCAATTGTTATTATGGCGCGTAGAAACATTTTTAAAAAAGAATTTCTACTATATTTGGTACTTTAATAAAAGAATGAAATTCATTTAATAAAAAATTTCACATGAAATAATATTAGAGTATGAAAGAATGAAATTACTTATAAAGTAAGAGAATAATTGCGTAATAATGTTTATTACCATTTTAGAAATTGACAATCACGGAATTAATGAATAATAGAAAAGTGAGAATAATGGAAAATGAAATATGGAAAGTGAAATAATGGAAGTGAAGAATAAATACAAAAAATAAATACAAAATAAATACAATGGGTGAAAATTTACCGAATATATTGATTTGATTTGATTTGATCGAGATTCGAATTGCGCACGAGCCTTTCAAGATAAGTTAGCGCCATTTAGATAATCTTGTTTATGTTTGTTTATTGTAATCTTGAAAATTTTTTACAGGATGTGCGTAAAGTAAAAAAAAATTGGCGTTGAAACATCCAAGGATGGAAATTAATACAGAAACTTGAGCTTTTACATCGTAAAAGCTTGTATATTCGGGACTCCTCGTGTGTTTACATGAGTGAAATGTGCGTGAATGTATTTTTCACATATAATCATAATATACGATAATATATGATAATATACGATAATATACGATAATATACGATAATATACGATAATATACGATAATATACGATAATATACGATAATATACAATAATATACGATAATATACGATAATATACGATAATATACGATAATATACGATAATATACAATAATATACGATAATAAATGATTATAAATGATTATAAATGATTATATAAGTTATGATTAATCTTCTTTAGTTTTTTAGTTTTTTAAATTGCAAAATTTCATTATTGACCACTATAGACCACTATAGACCACTATATAGTAAGTATCTTTATATAGTATCACTATATAGTATATATAGTATCATAATGTTATTCACATCTTTAAATCCTTAAATCCTTAAATCCTTTCTTAAGTTGAATTCACCTTTTCGGGATTGCCAATTTTTTCGGTCCATAAAGACTGTTTTTCGGGTACCGAATATCATAAACTAAATATACCAATTTTTTGGAACGTCCCACCCAAATTACAAAAGAAAAAATTGAAATTACAAAAGGAAAATTGGCAAAATTTTGTTGTTGTCAAAATTTATCTTATTAGTTTGGTTGGTTAAAAATTTTTATCCGAAAATCAATCCTTATTTATCATGACTTTACTCAATTTTGACTTTGTTTTGGAAATTCGGACGATAAAGCCAAACTCCGCCATACTATAAACTTAATGCAGCAATGATCTACTCATTGGTAATAAAGTACGTACGTACGAAACGTGTAACTGTTCTGTAATGTACGTACGTACGTACTTCCGTACGCACATAACGCATATACAGTATGTATGTATGCAGATATAAAAATTAAAAAAGAATTCATTTATTTTTCAATTCTTTTAAAATAATTAAAAAAACATAAATAAATATTAAGTTATCATTAATTTTAACTTTTCATATTCATATATTCATGTCACTCTGTTAAAAAATTTGTTTTTCTTTTGTTGACTCGAGTACAATATTAATTATCGGATAAAATTTTTTATAAATTCTATATCTGGAAATATTCGGTCCAAATATGTACAACTCAATATTTTAATCCTTTTTCTGAATTACTACCTTGGAATTCAACGTCTTTTAAGGGTTTTCCCTTCTTGGTATTATCCGAAATCCTGTTCAGAAACGGTCTTCACCTATTTATTACATTAAATTTTATATTAAAAATATATTTCATTAAAAGTCACCTCTGTCACGTATTATCGCGTGGCTAAAATAATAATATTATTGTCCTGAGTCAGACCTGTGTTATAATAGATCTACAAAGATTAAGGTTTCTCTATAATCGCCCCTTATGGCTAGCCAATATTTTCTTCATCTTGTCTTCTTGATTGAAACTCGATATTTTAAAAGGTTCTAACCTTAATTCTAGTTATTTAGTCTATATCCAAAAAAATTTTTGGGTCCACCTGTAAAAGCGGTGTTATTTAATCTTTATTTAATCTTTGTTCTTATCATATGATTTTTACCCTCCAAAATATGCTAGTATCACGAATTTACTTCAACAATATATGTTACAATAAGGCTTGGTTTCGGATAATCTCTTATCTTAATTATGAATACAAAAGCCTAAATTCGTTGCATTTGCTGTTATGATTATTATTGGACAAAATTAGATGTGATATTTACTTACACATGGACTGTATTATGTAATATTGTATATAACTTTTATTTCTAGACAATATATAATACTGTAATAGTATACTGTAATAGTTAATGCATATCGATATGGTGTTTTCTTCAAAAGTGTTAATCTCCCCGTAATTATGTTCTGGACCATCTGTTTCATCCTAATTAGAGTTCGTTATTTTCAATCCTTTCTTCTACCATCTTTTATATTTCTCTGATTGGTTCTTAAAAGGTCACATAATTACTTGATTAGTTAATGGCGAAAAAAAGTAAACGTTAATTTCGCGTATGTGATAATATAAACTTGTATGCGATGCGTCAGTACAAATTGCTTAGGTTTGCCTTTACATAATATATTGCAATTAAACCACTAATATAATGATAAAGGCTCCTTTTTTTTTTAAAACAAAAACAATGATTATTAATGAATACAAGAAAAATATTTGGTTCGACAAAAAAAAAAAAAAAAAAAAAGGCGTTCGATGAAAGATATTTAAGATACTGATCAATTCTATTTTAAGCTCATTAGATATGATGTTCTTAATTGGAGCACAAGTGTATTACCATATTCGGTTATAGCGTAAAATTTAGAATGAAAGAGAAAAGGATAGAATATAAAACGTAATTCATAAATTATGTATGCAGCAATCATTTATGTATGAGCAAATGAAATCTTGTTATTTAAAGATTATTTATATCAAACTATAACAAACTATAACAAAATTAACAAAATTAACAAAATTGTAAAAAGTTATGAATCAAAAAAATTATAAATCATTATAAAATTAGTTTAGCACATCAAAGATTATAAGACTGATATTCTCTCATACTAGCCATTCAAAGAAAATTCTCTATATAAAGAAAATCACTATACATCCGTTATTTACTGTATTCGTGTTGATATCATTCATTAAATTAATTTATTCTAATTAAAGATGTTATCTTCATTCTATATGACATATATGACGTTAATTTATCTAAAACTAAAAAACAGCTTGAAATTATGAACCTATCTAAAAATTTGTCCCACTTTCAAACTTTATCGTTATCAACTGTAAAAAATGTTATCTTTTCACGTGATCAAGATCATTGGTCCAAATTGGTCCCAAATTGGGTAGTCGAGGTAATTAAATAATGCGGGCATTCCCGAATGCCTCCTTCTAGATCATATTAAATAATTTTGTTTGTACATCACAAAAGATTACACTTTCCAATAAAACAAAGCATTGATTATTCTCGATAAAAAATTTGTAAAAGAAATGTGGTCATACACAAATTATTATTAAACCTCGCAGATCGAGAAACCAATCTCCTTAATACAAGAAAGTTTGTTGGTTGTTTGTTCAAATATGTAAATCAATTTTAATACTAACTTTTAATATTAACAATATAATTTTTTTTCATACAATATTAAACCATCCGAATTTATTATGAATTAAATATATTAATATTTTCTATAACCTTTCTTTTAATACATATCACAACACGTGTAAATTTATATTTAAAGTCTTTAGAAATATTAGAAATAGTAATTATATATCAGTTTATGTTTATATTGCATACATTAATGAATAATTAGAAATAGCATTCATATTGCATTCATTAATTATTGGTTTATTTTAGAGTTTGAACTCGAATATCGCTCTAGCAAAACGAATTCATACTGAAAAAAGAATTTTAATTTTTATCACATTTGTTGTTGAAAAGAATCCATTTTAAGTGCATTTATTCGGAATTTTATGTTCAACAATCCAAATGTGAGAAATAATAATAAATAAAATGAAAAATTTTTGTAAAACAAGCTCACAAAAAAAAAAAAAAAAAAAAAAAAAGATCTTTTTTAATTTGTAGTTCGCGTTTAACCAAATTTATGAATTAAATTCGTGTTTCTTTCTCAATTACATAACAACCCTCTTTATAATCACTATCCATTTTTGAAAAAATTTGGTGCTATGTTTTAGGATGAGGTGATTATAGAGTGAATTAAAGTGAATTAAAGTGAATGGTTACGTAAAGATAAATTTTGGTAAATGTCACAGCAGATACTCTTGAAATTTGAAACTTAAAAAGAAATTTCTTTGTGAATGTATTCTTTTAAAGTTTGATTAAGGTTTAAGGCTAGAATTGTTAATAAAAGAAATTTAGCCATGATAATAATTATGGTAAACACCGTATAATCTGCTTCCAGTTCGTTAGGATATACAAGAAACAAAAAAGTGATAATTCAAATGCCAATCCCACGTCATTTTTTTTTCATTTGTGCTAGATCGCCAATTTGATCCACAGGGCTTTAAAATTAGTAAAATCGATTATATTTTATCAAACTTGGAATTGACGATTTTCAGGGGTTACATTGTAGCTCAAACAAATAAAAATAGTAATTCTTTAACAAAGTCTATGTAATACGACTCAAATATAATAATTTAACAATGAGTATAAATGCGAATTAATTCTAAATTTGATTACGTTATATACGTAATTTTCATATACGTAATCAAATTCGATCGGTTTAAATTATAATTTAATATATAAATTGATACTCAATTATATATTATTAAATTCGACGACTTTGTATTATATAATTATATGTAAACAGATAACGATAATGCATATATCGATTAAAATTACTTTGTTTGATATTATGTAAGAATTTTTAAATTAACTGATGTTTATCGTTATTATTATTATGTAAAAAAAAATCTAAATTATTGTTTTTATAAATATTAAATAAACATGGTATTAAAGTATACAAAAATCTTGCCTCTTATATAATACAAATAAAATTGATTTGAAAAAATTATTTTTACGTATTTTTATTTTTATTTTATGAATATACAGTATATGCGTTATTTTTTTAAATAAAATATATATAATATACGTAGTACAAGCCAAAGTTTTATGGTATAAATATAAAACTTAATTAGCAATTAAATATAAAAAATAGGATTATTATATAGTACATGGTATAGTTATTAATAGTATATACTATATATAAAAAATTTTTATAAGTTATAAATTGGTTATTTAATACTTTAGCGTAATATTTCTAAATTTTTTTGAATTTCTAATTTAAAAAATTATTTTTAAAAAAAACTAATACAACATATATTAATTTAAATGAAATTACTGAAAAGTTTAGATAAAATATAAGTAAAATATAAACTGCTTTAGCAGATTTACTTTAAAAATATAACCAAGTTCTAAAGTAGAATACATATTTAAAATCTACTCTAAGTAATAAGATTTAGCAACTAAAATAGTTATAATTAGAAAGTTTAAATAGATAATCTTATAGTTGATATGCAAGTATAAGCATCTAATATAAACTTTAAATAAAATAACCTAGATGTAGACCACTTAAATTAGATATTAAAAGTATATATGTATTTTTATTATAATTGTAGAATATATAACTATAAATATCTAACAAAAGTTTTCTATACCAAAAAGATTACCTTAATGCTAATATATATATATATATTATTATAGTGTAAATTATCTAAAGCCATCAACTTTTAACTATAAAATTTTTAAACTATTTAATTTTTAAATTAAAATAAATTAAAAAAAAGTTTTTGTATATTTAATAGATTTTTAATCATCACAACTCTTTTTAATGATCACTTGCTCCAAATTTTTCACCCAAAAAAAAAAAAAATTTTGTTAGAGATAATGTTATTTCATATTTTGATAAGATAGTTTTTGTAGAGATCAGTATTAATCAACTCCTTTACATATTTGATATGCAAACCAAAAGTATTTTGGTGCAAGATAACTGGCAAGTGGTACCCTTGTATGAAAAATTTTGGTAGAGATGGTGTTCTGGAAAGGAGGGTTTCTGTCAACAAAGTCTTTTAAGAGTCGAACAGAAAAAACAAGGAGAACAACAAAAGTTTTTATTTTTTATCACACTTCTTACAAGTATTACAAGTAGTCACTCT